AGACAAACCCGCACATGATAGCCGGCCCCACGTGAATAAAAAATTTATAATAAAAAGTAGCCCCCCCTCATTGTGAGGGTTTGTCAACTTTTTTGTCAAACTTTTTTTGTACAATTAGCTTTTTTCTTTTTAAAATACATTTTTCTATCTTCTTTTCAACCATGCATTTTCAACAAAATAATATTACAAATAAATTCAAATATTTTCTTTATTTTACAACCACACATTATGTCATTATCCATCAATCTACTATTTCAAAATGCATTCTTAAAAAAATAAAAAAGCATTAAGTCCATGTTTGGAATTTTTCTATAAATCATTTTCAATTACACATTTTATAGAACCACAACTTTTATCAACTTTTCAATCATACATCATTTTTTTAATCAAAATCTATTAAAAATTCAATCTTTAGCCAAATCAAACCCGGCTAAATAGAATTTGGAAGACAAATTGAAATTTTGACCGGTGTATTGTGTAATAAACATACTTTTGTATAAATTATGCTATGTGATTTTTGATCAACTGAAGATCAGAAAGTAGATCAAAAATCTTATAAGAAAAACTGTGAGGCATTTGAAAACAAATTATTCATGGGATCCGTCCTTAATTAACTTGGAATAGTTTGTCCCAGTGAGAAAATTTTGGAAAATAAAGGATAAAATTATATAATAGTGTTACACATTAATGTAATTACTTTCAATCATTAATCAAAAGTTTTACTCCATTCACACGTTTATATTTTTCTTTATTAACAAAATGCTGGAATCTGAACCGTTTGCATCGCATATAATTAGGACTGTCAATTGATTGGATTTCGATCTGAATCCAATGAAATTAATGAGAGATGAATTCAAGGTCTCCATTCGATATTCCGTTAACTAAATAGATCAAATACGAATATAGATCAATCCGATCCGACTTGTTATAAATAATTGAATCGGTAAAATATTTTTATGACATGTTATTTGTCGCTAAAATAGAAAAATAAATTTACAATAAAAAAGTCATCAAATTCAAAACATAAAAAAGCTGAAAACATTATAATTATTAAAACCGTTGAAGAATTAGAAAATTTGGAAAAATAAATAAATAAATACAAGTTGATTCCAACATTATTTTTTTCCTAATTTCTTTAATTTCGGATCGTATTATAGGATTGGATATCCGATAACATAACAAATCGGATATGGATTTAACAATTAAATATTCGTTGGATTATCGGATCGAATCGGATCGGATATAGGCAAATCCGATCCATATTCAATCCATTTATAACCCTACATAATTATAAGATGAATTTGATCGGTCCGTCAATATATTCAGTGAAATGGTTTTCATTTTCTAGAGAGTAATTCTTGCATATTTTCCTCAACCAATGATGTATCAATTGTTAGTTCTTTACCTGTTAAAAAATTATTGCTTCTTTCACTTCTTATCTTTCTCTGACCTCATATGTTTTAGTTACTACATTCCCTCTCCTTCGGCCTTAATTATGCTTCATTTCCATCTTCTCAACTTCTAATTATGCTATCTGAAATGATGTCATACAGAGATCCAGTTGCTGCGGCATCAAGAAAATACGAGCCCATTCAATCTGCTGTTCCTGGAACTACCTTGGGTCCAATCCAGATTGATGCTTTTCTTAAAAAAAAAAAAAAGGTTGAACCCCAACCTTGAGGGCCCCCCACCGACCCTGCCCTGAGCCATTGTGGAAGAGGTAAATCGCAGGATGTGCCTCCCAGGAGCCAGGGGGGAGAGCTTATGGATAG